TGAAGGTCATTTATTCCAGGAAAGATGAGCTTGCCAAGAATACAAAGATCAAAATTATCTCTAGACTGAGCTAGTATTTTCCAATCAATACATACTTTGGTAACATAACCATTTTATTTTCCAGCCAAATTTAAAAAAGCATTTGTTAGTCTCCTAAGATATTAAGATGTAAAATTCATAGATTTCTCCTCAACCAAAATGATAATAATAAAAGTATCCCAACAACAACAAAATATCGCTTTAATATATTAAAAGACAGAAATAGGGAATCTGCATTTTATAAATGGTAAAAAATAATTAACTGTGAATATTGAAAAATCTTACTGTAGAAATTCTTACATCCATAATTTACCATCTGAGTTCTCTTTTCCTTTGATTGCTATTTATGGCAGGATTTTTGAAAGAAAAAGTGTGTTATAGAATTGCGGAATCGCCTTTTATTGGCTTCCATTTTTCTTCCATTTTTGTCTTTGTTCTTGTCCATAAAACTGTAACTCCATCTCTAATCATTTGATTGATCATTGGGAGAGGGAGAGGGAGAGAAACCCTGCTATATGGAGTAACAAAGCTTTTTGCAGGAGAGGGCTGTTAAGATGCCAAGATAAATGCATGTCTTTTAGTACCCTATTCGCCTAATAGGAATCTAAGTGCTGCTTCTCCATTTTGTAGATTGTCCATGATTATAAATAAATTTCAGATTGACATCATTTTATTATAACCAAAGCATTCTAGTCTACCCAATCAGGTGAATGGCTTCTGGATTCTTTAGATAGGGTACATTTTTAACAATCCCCCCCCCCCAAAGTTATTGCAAGATAAAGTATTCAGATTATTTTGGATGCTTCTTTTTTTTCACTTGTTGAAATAAGTGCCTACTGTAAATTAAGCTTTTGATCATGTGGATGCATAATACTACATAACACTACTACTAATAGTAGCAAAAGCAGTAGCAATAGCAAAAGTTTTCCAAAATACATTGACAATATAAAACTTGCAGAGGGAATCTTGCCTTCCTCTTTTCTAAATGTTGCCTCTCTCCTACTTGGGTTTTCCTTCTTTTCTTTCTTCATCTTGCAAGGCCCATGGATTTCTGTGCTTATGGCAGATGTGGAATAGAACTCCTGTACATGTACCTAAAAACAGTCTATTCTGAGGAGGTATTCTGTCCCTCTGGCAACCACAGAAAAATTGCTGACAAAAATAATCACAGTCATTCATCCAGATGATTAAAGGATACTCTTCTTTCATGGGCATTAAAATGTTTTATTCTATTTCACATTTTTAGTCCACTACAGCAGTGAGTTGTCACTGAGATGGAGGCTGTTCTGTGAGGAAACATTTGTACCAAATGGTAAGTGAGCCATCTCAAAGAGAGAGAGAGAGAGATCAAGGAGGTGTATGCATGAGCTCTTAGAGTACACAGAACACTGCCAGTTTGGTAATGATGAGCATAACTATGAACTTAAAATTGCTATTAGTAAGATATTTATTTCTTCCACTTCTATTCCATCCCAGTCTAAATAATTCTCAGTGACTTACTTAATGAAGAACCAATAAAACATCTATGATAAAGCATCTATCGTAAGTCTTAAAACAGAGTAAGCCAAATAAACTATAGGGCAAAGTTAAGCAAGATAGAAAGAACAATAAGGTAAATATAAAGATAAAAGGCTAAAATTCCCTAGATCAGTGATGGCGAACCTTTTAGACACTGAGTGCCCAAATTGCAACCCAAAACCCACTTATGCATCGTCGGGTGCCGGGTGGGTGTGGCCCATTAGCTGGGTGTGGCCCATTGGCTAGGAGTGGCTATGGTGGTAACAGCAAACTGGGTGGGACTAAAAAGTTCAATCAATCAATTCCAACTTTGCAAGATTTTTTTTTCTACGAGAAGTTGAAATTGACTGATTGATTGAATCTTTTATTTTTTTGCACACAGCGGTGGAGGCCTAAAGCAAAAAGGTTTTATAAAACCCAGCTGCAGGCCTAAGACTGGGGCAACACTGCCTGTGCCCACAGAGAGAGTTCTGAGTGCCCCCTCTGGCACCCATGCCATAGGTTCGCTACCACTACCCTAGATAATTCTAGAAGCTTTGTTTTGAGCATTCTTCTAAAGACCATCAAGGAGATAGTGAAAAAGGAAGTAAATCAAGGAGGAAACAATGGAGGAACTATTGCTGCCACTGCAACTGTGATATCTACAGCTGAGTGTGTATATAGGAACAAAAATGTAATTTAATTGAAATTATTCAATGTAGATGCCAGCCCACTCCAGATAATGCTGGGCAGCTCGCAATGTAAAAACAAAAATAAAATATGATAAATCAAAAACAAAATAAAGGACTTTAAAAAGAACAATAAGAAGGTGGTAGTCTAACAATAACACACAAAACACATCCCACAAGAGCTCCATTAATACTAGGCAAAAGTCTGGGAGAACAACTGGATCTTTAAGAAATGATCAAAGCATAATAAAGCAGTTTAAACAGCCAAAGAAAAAAATTTCACCAATAGATGCCAGGTACCCCAAAGAGTTTGTGTTGTGTATCCACCAGCTTCATCTTTGTAAGAAGTTGGATAGCTAAAGTAATTTATTTGTTAGGTTTATATTCTGCCTTTCTTTCAAAAATGCATGGTGACAAATGTGTCACTCCATTTTTTCCTCTCGCAATAACAGTGCCATTAGATAGGTTGGGGTGAAAGATAATAAATGCTCAAAGGAACTTGCATAGCCAGGCATACACTTGAACACAAAACCTTAATCTCCATGCCGCATCAGCCCTAATAGCATCTCAAGTGAGCAATATAAATTTCAGTTTGTCTCATAATACAGTATGCAGCCTTCTTGGCTCTCCAGCCTCTATCTATATTGAAAGTTATAACTAAGAGTCATCCTTTGTACTAGTTTTGAATTCTCACATGCTGTTTTTCTCTTGGGAACATTAAATTGTCATTTCATCATTTAATCTATTTTGAAGGCTATACTCAGATCTCACATTCTCTTTCATGAACATGTTCTTAGGAGTTTTAGGAGATAGGACTTTGGATTATGTCTTCTGATATGAGTACCTGAAATAAACTAAATGTGAAATCCAAAGGTTATCATCAATTAGGTAAGCTTTTAGTGTTCAAATAGAAGCATAAAATGGTTTAGAGCTTCAACTTTTAAAATACAGTGATCAAAAAGAACATCTTTTCTAAAAGTGGCATGAACTACATGATAGGAGGAGGGGGAAAAGGGATTTGTATATAAAATTAAGTCATGAGGAATGTTTTTATGGGCACAAATTGCCTTTTAAAAGCACTACCAAATTGTATGCGCAAGGTAACTGGGTAAGTTTTTGAGATCTTTTCCAAAAGGAGAAATTTTCTAGCAATTATTTAAAATCAGGAATGACAATAGCACTATTATTACTGAAAACTCCAGGGGATGGCTACTCATCCCCCCCCCCACACACGTTTTCATTACATTCACCTTCTTGGCTAAATATTTCCTGGTTGATTCAGGTCAAGGAACTTTTTGTGACTTCTTCCACCTTGACAGGAGAAAGATGTCAGCAAGGCAAATCAGGATCATGCTTGGCAGAATTCATCTTCCAACAGCTGCCAGGTTAATTAAAAACTTCATTACTTTTACTTTATGCTTCCTTGAAAGATTGCAGACTTTGGTTTTTGAGCTTTTGAGTTTTTGAAGCTGTTGTATAGTTATAATGGCACTTACGTTTTATATATTTCATAAGGTAAGAAGCTCTGCTTATAAATTGTAGAAAAACAAGATATAAATAGAAGGGTTATAAATGATTGGCAGAAGTTTTGAAATTCATTGACTGTTTTTTTTTTCTTTATGCCTCTCTGCATTTCTCTGAATGACCTTCCAGTAGCTACAGGGTGATGACCAGGCAATTCTGAATTTGAACATTGAGTGTATATTATGTTCTTCAAGCTCTGATGCTTTGAAACTCTCTAAATGTGACATATATGTATTGGGCTGTCATTTATTGTGCCAAATCAAGGAACAAATCAAGGATAAAATTTTATTTGAATTCTAGAAAGAAAGGAGGACACTCTTGAAAAGATAATGTCAGAGATCAAATTGAATACTTATGTCACTGTATGATTTCTGGATACTAAATGTTTTGGTTCTCTAGTAACTTGAAGTATGAATCTATGAGTTTGTTCATACCCTCTCTTTTGCATTTGGAATTGCTTCTGGATTCTCTCAGCTATCTGAAAACAGTAGGGTACTAGGAATCCAATAGGATCTTTTTCAGTCAAAGCTCCAAAATTCTCCATATATGGAAGATCATGTTTTCAGCAAGGTAATCTGGCAATAACATTTTCATGCCTCAGAAAGGCTTGTTCCTTGTTGGTGTAGCTAAATCCAGCTCAGTTACATTGTTCCTTGAGATAAAAAAAAATACAAACATGTTTCCCCATACATGTCAGTAAAAATAATTAGTAATAATTTGCTGCCTTTTCATGAAAGACAAAACTTTGTTGAGTTTCCGCATATTAGTGCCAGGAATGTTCTTACTAAGACCCCAAACAATAAATCTTTGTTATGGCTGATAAGGTTCAGACCAATAACAATAACAACCCCCCCACTCTTTAGTTCCAATCATAGCATATTTATTGTACACAAAGAATGGAAAACAGCAAACTAGCTATAGTAAGCAGTTTCCAAATCTGAAAAATAACAAGAACATGTAATGAAATGTTTATACCAACTAAATGAATTACAGAGGCATAATTTCATCCTCTCCTCAAAAGAAAATGGAATTATTTCCTTTTGAGAATAACATTATCCTCAAAAATTATCCAATCCAGAGAAAATTAGCCGTATTTAAATCCCCATCAAATCAATGAAATTTAAGTATTTAAACCATGTGCTTAAGTCTCATTGATTGCAATCATTGAATATACTTTATGAACAGATGCTGGCTGCATTGAAAGCTAAGAATGCAATCATTGATGAGATCAACAAAAGAAAAATGTCTTACTTGGTTAGTACTTTTGCTGGCAGGTGGAAAACTCCATGGAGTAGTTCATTCAGTAGGTCCACACCTAATATACACATATAAAAGAGTGCCTCCCCTGTTTATATAGGGATGTAGGATTTCTGAACATATGGTGGTATGTACGAAAGTGCTGTCTCTGCCTATTATTAATTGTATAAGCTGGGATATTGTGGGAAGGGCCATTTGTGGGACAGTGAAGCTATTTAGAACACTCCTTGTCAAGCTCCTGTAATTGGTAAATTAAATAAGAAGATATCACTAAAGCAACCCTTACAAACGATAGAATTTTAATTGGATTAGTTCAAATGCTTTACTAGTTGTCAGATGGAAGAATGTTGTTATTTTCCTATTTTCTATCATGCACATTTTCAAACAAGTAACAATCAAAGAAAGTCATGAAATGATGGAATGCTTCACAGATTGGTTGACATTCAGAAGGACTTGTTTTGACTTTAATTTAAACTGGCCTCCTGCCAAAGAGAAAAACAACTTGTGATTGTCAGAAGGTGCTCTAAACCTAAGATCTGTTCCAGAAACAGAAGCATCTTTCCATTTCAGATACAGAACATTGTGTTCATATTGGACATATTTCCACTGTAGGAAAATATTTTCCTCTTTTCAATTGGGAATAATATTCAAAGGAAGCAGATGAAAAGGTCTTAACTTCTCTAGGTGCCACATACAGTGGTGAAAAAGGAAGAATAAATACTTCTACCATCAACAAAGATGTGAGATTAACCAGTATAAGAACACATAAGCTAAATTACTATTATAGCTGAGATTTTGGAATTTTGGAAATTGAAGTTCAGTCACATCTTAAAGTGACTGAAATTGAGACACACAAACCTAGGGTGAGAGGGAAAGGAATAGATTAAGAGATCTAGAGGTGCAATAGCAAAAACTATTGGAAAGCAGATTGGAGAGAGAATATAGATTGGAAAGAAAGATTTCTAATTTCACTAGCTTATTATCCCCATTTTTGCTGTTCAAAGCATGCTTTTGCTTCTGTGCACTTGAAACATTAAAATCAATTTAAAAGATCCCACTTGATATGCTACAAGTTCCAAAACAAAAAAGAACACTACCTACCATTCCACACAAAAGGAAGGAAAGGTGTGACACTTAGGATACCACCTCCCTTGCTGAAGAGAAGAAGTCAATCCACCAACCTTTTATTAATTTCCTAGAACATAAAACAATGTTGAAACGTACCTTGGAGGTCTTCTAGTCCAACCCCCTGCTCAAGCAGAAGACCCATACCATTTCAGACAAATGGTTGCTCAGTCTCTTTTTGAAAGCTTCTAGAGATGGAGCACTTACAACTTCTGAAGGTGAGCTATCCCATTGGTTGATTACTCTAACCAGGGCTTTTTTTGTCATAGAACGCCCAGAACGGAGTTCCAGCACCTTTTTTGGATGGAACCTTGTAGGGAGGCAAGGCGGGTTGTATAACATGTGTGAGTTCTGGCACCTTTTTTTTTTTTTTATAAAAAAAGCACTGGCTCTATCCGTTAGGACATTTCATTTCTGTCTGTGTAGCCTGCCTTCTGAGGGAGAGGTACAAAGTCAACAAGCTAGCATTTCCCTTAAAAGATCCTGAGGTACCTGGGAGGAGCAGTAAGGCAATAATTCCATCCAGTGGAGAAAAAGCCATGAATCTCAAAGCAAACAAGGCATCCGCAGCTTTACGGCTGTTTCATTTACACTACTTCACCTCAGATTTCTGATTGTGTTCCTGTTCTAGGAACAGAGGACTGGAGCCAGAGCTGTGGTCTAACACATTTTGAAATGCCTTAGAAGAAATGCCTGAATGATAAAGAGATAACAATGGGGAGCTAAACAGAGGGAGACAGACAGGATCCTGAAGAGCAGAAGAAAAAGTCTTTTGCTGACTGCAGAAAATGCTACAGAATAGAAAACTAGATAAGAGGAACAGAATGACAGAAATGAAACAAGAGAAAAAAATAGATTCGTAATGCATATTAAAAGGAAAAGTAAACAACATGTATTTTGTATTTCTAAAACTTAATCAAAAGTGGCTCTTTTGTCAGTTTGAACTGTGCCTGCCTCTGAGGATATTTGGATGAAATGAAAGTCTAGCTACCTATAATAATTGCCACCAATGTAGAAAAGCTTTTCTTCTCTCAAGCTTGCAAGGCAGGAGGTTTTGTGAAGTACCACCTGAGATGGCCTGTTTATCTTTTAGGGGAACATATTTAATTATTTCAAAAAGAAAGAATTAGTTAATGCGGAATCCTGCAGATTAAAGATTGAGGCTACACCACAGTTGCTTGGAGGCTTGTGCAATTTGACTACTCATGCTACAGTGTGTGAGCATCTCATTTTTATTGCATAGAAAGATAGAGGGGGGGAGTGTAAAAAACAGAGAAAGAACAAAGAAAATCCCACAAAGGCAAAGGAACTGCCTTGAATAATTTAAGGCACTTCCTGCATTTCAGGCTTCAGATTTTTTGTTCCTTTATATACCTTTGAGTCCACAGTGGGCATTTAGTTTGTCGATGGTCAGGCTACAACCATAATCAAATCCACAACAGCAGGGAAGCGGACCAGAAAAATACATATTTATTATTAGATTTAAGCTCTGGGGAGAAAAGAGAGAGGAGTGAACTATTGTGAGAAAAAAATACTCTCTTGGTTGATTTAATATAAATGTATCTTTGAACTCTAGCAGGATTGCTCTAGCTGGTCAGTATCAGATTTGTAAAGTGGCATTAACATTTGTTTTCCCTATTCCCAACATACATGTATAACATAAACAAAGCTTGTTGTTTTCTTCACTGCTGACTGAAGACTTTCTGAAAAGTACTCTGAGAGGTTTTATATGATAATATATGTTATTCTTTATAATGTTTCCATCTTCCCTTAAAACATTAACAGAATCCACGATAGGCTGAGAATCAGAGTCTCCACAAGATAATTGAAAGTCAAGCTGAAATTAAGTTAATCAAGTAAAAATAGTAAGCAGGGGAGGAAGCAGGGGAATCTTTTACTCAAACTTTCTCAAACCACCAAGTAAGTTACCTAAACGTAATTCACATATCAAAGGATAGGATCTGTAAACACAGATAGTTAAATTAGGTCTCCCAACAGAACTGAATGTTCACAAGAATAAACATCTAGTTCACACCCAAATACCCCTCAAGTGTCATCCTAGAATCAGCACATAGATACTTCCACACCCAGGACAAGCTCCCTCCCTTATTTAACTATGTTGCTGTATCCCATTTCTCTGCAACTGCCGCTAAAGGCAAACCCTTTTGCTTTTAGGAATAAATATTTCTTCTTTCCTCACAGTTGTCTGGATTTCATTTTTATTTATTCTTGGGCAACCCTGCCTTGAGTTAGAACCTCAAATTACACTGGATCGAGCAATTAAATAGTGTATATTTTAAAAAGAGCCAAAATCAACATCATAACTGACCAGAACTTTACCTTGTAGGTGGAAATGAATTACAATATTCTAGGGAGGGTCACATTCAAGTTGATTTGCTGTTAGAATTCACTATAAATGTTTACGACAGGACTTTTCATTCTCTTTTTCTCTCTTCCACTCTTTTATTTTCCTCTTTTCTGCTTGTCTGCTTTTGACCCTAAAAGGGATATTCTGAAGGAGAATATTAGATTTCAAGGCAGAAAAGCCTTTGAATGAGATAAAAACTTTCTCACAGACCTTCCACTGGGTAGTTAAGTGAATTTCTTGTAGGTTTGTGGAGAGTTAACCTCCATAATCCCAGGACCACACCATTCTAGTTTGATTCAGGAAGCTACCCAGTACAGCTGCTGCATAAATCTTACAGTCTTCTCTAGTTTTAGTTTTCTACCAGTGCAGGTGCTAGATTTCCCTTTACTTCCACAAATCACCTTGCACAACAGTACTTTGAAGTGCTTACTTCAACTTTTACCTCTCTGATGCCCTTCAGATTGGTTAGACTGATTCTGAGAACAGAAGACCCAATACTTCTGGAGAACAGGAAGCTGGGGAGAGCTAGTGAACTTTATCTGGCAATGATTCTCCAAGTTTTCAAAAAGAGAACTCTAGCATATCATTATCAGCATATCTCTTTTACTAGAAACACTGGGCATTTGACTGGGAGCAGTCAGCCAAACATCTCTGAGTACAATCAGTAACTTTTCTCCATTGTAAAGTTAAAAGGGGTGAGATGGGGAAAAGAAAAGGTTGAATGGAAGCAGGAGGCTTAAGAAACATTTGTCAAAACTGAATCTGTAGAAGCCATATAATCTGTTCAATTTATTTTCTTTCACAACAGTTCCACAGGCATATATTCTTATATGGTGCATAAAGAGTCTTTCTGCCTTGTGGATCAAGAGCAATTCAAAATGTTATCCAGGTGCTTTTATGCTGCTATTTTTTTATGTTACTCCAATTCTGCTGAAATTGGTAGGCCCTTTGGGCCTGGTTAATGCTTTTTTATCAGATTAGGATGAGTTTATTACTCACCATGTGGCAAAATGTTATATAAATGCTTGTGACATCAGAGAGGTGTTAAGAATTACTTGAGTTGCCATTCTGATGTGTGTATTGGTGATGTAGTTTTTAATATTCTAATAGCAGCATGTTAGTGGTAAGAAATTTTAGAACATAGAATAATAGAGTTGGAAGGAACCTTGGAGATCTTCTGGTCCACCCTCCAGCTTGAGCAGGAGACCCTATACCATTTCAGACAAGTGGTTGTCCAGTCTCTTTTTGAAAGCTTCCAGGGATGGAGCATCCACAGCTTCTGAAGGCAAATTGTTCCATTGGTTGATTTCTCTCATTGTTAGGAAATTTCCTCTTAGTTCTAGATTGTTTTGCTCTTTGGTTAGTTTTCATCCATTGTTTCTTGTCTTGCCTTATGGTGTTTTGGAAAATAGACCAACCCCCTCTTTTTTATAGGAGTCCTTCAGATATTGGAACACTGCTATCATGTCTCCCCTAGTCCTTCTTTTCATTAGACTAGACATACCCAATTTCTGTAACAGTTCTTTGTATGTTTTATTGTCCAGCCTCTTAATCATTCATGTTGCTCTTCTCTTCACTCTTTCCAGA